ATGAACGCGGGGCAGGAACGTATTTCGATAGCTACGGCTTGCCGCCCTTGGATCCAAGATTCCTCTTACGACTTCGACGAAACTCCACCATGTATCGCTGGAATACGACAACGCTGCAAGGAATACTTTCTCAAACTTGCGGACAATACTGCTGTGTATTTCTATATTATTTGTGTAATGGCTATAATCTTAATCAGTTTCTTGACCTGTTTACCTCTGATTGTAAGCGAAATGATCGTTTGATTGTACAGTTATTTCATACAATTTTTCATCATTGTAAACATAAACTCGTAAATTCTCATGCTGTATGCCGTCATGTTCAAACGTGTACTCTTTAAAAAAAAAAAAAAACTATTTCATGTAATACCTTTTCTAAAATAAACGTTTTTGAACTTGTAAATATTGCCTTGTTTCTTACTCCTACCCCCCTTCAACCTCATTTACATTAGATACATTTTCCCCGTATTGCAGACTCAGATACATGTACATTAAATACACTAGATACAGAAAAGAATTTTTTTTTAAAAGCATTGCTCGAAGACGACGCGCCGCAACTGCTGAACGTGTTCCTGTTTTACCTCTCCCCCAAAATTCTTCCGAACAAATGCAAGTCTCTCTCTAGACCTACCAATTTTCCGGATAAGATTTCCTTTATCAGACATTCACCAAATCGCCTACACGTCGGAGACGTTGCCCCCCCGCGACATCAAAAGCGACCGTCATAAGATTAGACCGTTATTCATCCCCCCCTATGTTCGTACTCTAGCCGCGCGACAAAGAATGCAGAAGTCCAAATCCCCACTCACCATTTTTCAAACCTCTATTTCGTCTAAGACCCTCTTCCCCTACCCTCCCCAATAACCTTTTGGGTGAGTATAGGGCGAGCCAATCAGAACGCGCCATTTCGGCTGACTGACCCGGCTAGGCCACGCCCATGGCGCCAGAGGGAGACGTGGAGGGGGTTTGTTGTGACGCCCCATGGATATCCATATACTACTAGCATACATTCAAACTAGTTCTAATTCTAGTGAGACACAAGTGGTGCTGTATCACGAGCGATTCGAAGAGGCTGGTAGACGTGACACCTCCATATATAAATAAGAAAAAAGTTAGTCCTCATTGCCAAGTCTAATAATTTAGGAAATGAAATTCAACTCCTCGTCACGAGCAAAAAACCAACAGCTAGGCTTTGATCCCGTCACATTAAACGCGATTGAGACGCTGGTAGATAAAGGCTGAGAAGTGAGTGTACTGATCAGTGTAATACAACTCCTTTTTGGACGACCTAGAGACGAATCCAAATCAATCGATCGCTTTTTATCGCTAAGACCTGTTATATAGGGTTGCAAGCTGTAAATATATAAGAAATTGATCCAATCACAGTCAAATATAAGAAAAGTAATCGAGTATGATTGGTTAATTTCTTACGGCTTACAGCTTGCGACCTCATTGTAGAACAGGCATATGGGCCGAACAGTTTACAGATAGAGCGTGTTCTCAATTAGCCAACAGCAACATTAATTGCTAAACCACGCAAACACTACATTATTGCGGGCATTACGCGGCTGACATCTCGTGCCCGGAGCATTTGGCGTAAAAGTTTCAGTGATCATGGTGGCCACTTCATGCAGCAACATCTCAATGAGAGTTCCGCTTATTTAAAACATCAAAGATTTTATTTCATCATTGAATTAGAATTTCATCAAATGAGTTTTGTGAAAATCTATTAATACGATAACTTCAACTTCGGCACTCTCAGTGGCTGAAGCAAACGCGCCACGCAACGAATCGACTGTGGTTCGTTTTTACGTTGAATTAAATCGGCGACTAGGATACATTAGCTTCCCCGTTGGATTTTTACATGAAGAAAACGATTTTAAAATCTAAAAATTTATATAAATAAGCATATAATTCAGATAAATCAGAAAATTTGTAGATACTTAAGAAAAAAATCGTTTTTTTTTCGTGAATATCCTCGGGATACTGAGCCCTCCCAGAAATAATTTTACGCACGTTTATGAGGAACGTTATATTGCGTGTACATTAATTTCTAAATTCTTACAAAACACTTCTTCGAAGTTATCAGCTTCATCTCGTTAGTGTACGTGCAAAAGTGACGTAAATAAAAAGCATCTATTATGTATGTGAAAGAGGATACGTGTCTTCTTTCACCTATTATACGTGGTGGAAGCATCTATTATGCATAGTAGAAAAAGACACGTCCTTTTCCACTATGCCATTACGTATCTTTGAACATCTAGAATAGAGATATTTGCAAAGAGGTTACGTTTATATTTGTTTATACTATGCAGTAATACTTACATATAAATAAAAATTCCGCGAGAATAAAGTAATCTAATCTAGATTATCTGCATATAATATTTTATTCCGTCGATCAATACTTGTTTTATATATACTTAATTCTTTTATGTATGTGTGTATGTACGTAACGTACAATATAATACTCACAAGGTTCCTGAAAGATCTGTAGAGACAAACTATTTAGAAAGAGTATTAAACGCGTTTGTGTTTCGTGCGATTAGAAGTCAAATTACTAGTCGACTGCGGAAACTATGACGAAGACGCTATAGACAGCGCTGGCACCATTATTAATCATTGGCTCGTTCTTCAGTTTGGGCTTGTTCGAATATCCTCGTGGACACCCAAGACCGTATCTGTCTTGTTTGTATACCTTGACCATATGGAGTTATTTTACGTATTTATTTTACTATCCATTTTACATCACATATTGGAAGAATAAGATATATGATATTCGGGACATCATAACAATTTTCACCGCGATTACATCTATATTTCTTAGCCATTATCATTTTAAGGTAAAAATTTTAAAATGTACTTACAGTCTATTAGTCTCTAATATTATTTAATTCGTCAAAATTCTTTAACTTTTAAACACAATTAATTAAATAAATAAATATAAATATAAATAAGGACTCTCTATTAACTAATATTAAACAATACAAATAAAAAATAATAAAAGTTCAGATGAGGCTAATGAGAATCATACGTTGTCGAACAGATAGCAGAAGTAGATAATTCTCGGATGTTAATGTTATCTTCATTTTATTTCGAACGTTTCGGCTTATTTTGGAGTCTTTATCAGCGATTACAAATTCAAAATTCATC